AAGAACTTGGGTACAAGCACTGAAGACAGTGTCAACTCACTTCATGGTCCAGTTTCTGGATCTTCCATCTCTCTTTCAGACAGCATCCGTGACAACCGCTATTCGGCCAATAACGCCGGACCCTTTGATGTTCATATTCAACATATCTCTAATCCAAAGTCTTCGCTACACCCCACTTTTGTAGGAAGAGTCATTTGTGAACTCGACGTTAAAGAGATCATGGAAATAAAGAAAATTGGATATTCTAAAGCCTCGGTTTTCTTTAAAACCAGAGAGGCTGCCAACGCCTTAGTAGAAGACAAGAGACTCTCTCTTAAAGATCTAGAAGCATTTATTCTCCCCTTCCGCACTTCTAGGAAGGGCATCATTAGAGACGTCCCACAGGATCTTTCTGACCATGAGATCTTAAGTAATATCACAAGTCCGATCAAGGTTGTCGCTGTCAATAGAATGAATCGGAGAACCACAACAATCTTTCACATGGATTCTCAAGAAGATTCTTCATCCTCATCCTGTCACTTACGTGCCTTCTCTCTCTGTCTCGCTCACCTTTGAGGAACAAAGATCCCGAAATCATGTCTTCATGTTTCACGTCAGGTATCCCGTGTCTCCATATGTTGCAAGAGTCTCACGATGCAATCGCTGTTTTAGATTTGGACACATTCAAACCAACTGTAAAAGTCAGCCACGCTGTGCACACTGCGGTGACAAAGGACACACCTATTCCAAGGAAAACTGTCAACGTGCTCAAAACCCGCCAAGGTGCGTGAATTGCCAGGGTGAACACAGAGCAGACTCTACTCTCTGCCCGGAACTCTCTATACAGAAGGAGATCAGGAAATACGCAGCTTATAGAAACGTTTCTCTGTTAGACGCGAGATAAATCTTTAAAGGTAACAGATCCCCTCCGCCCTATTCCTCTTCCTCTGAAGACTTCCCCAACTTACCCTCTACACATCCTAAAGCTCATCCCTCTCATTCTAACTCCTACTCGCCCCCCCCCCTTTCCACCTCCATTTCTCCCTCTGCTTCGTACGCTAATGCCTCTAAATATTTTTCTTCCAACCTTATAACTCAGCCTACCCCCCTTTTGAACCTAACGCGCAATTCGAAACTTAAATCCGTTTCTCTGCCCCAGCTCGAACAACTTAATAGACTCCCCTCTCCTTCTCGCTCTCAAAAACAACTCCGCTCAAATGTCTCTTTTTCTACTCCCTCCACTCCCTTTTTTCCTGTTCCGGCTCCTCCTCTCAGCTCGATCGCTAACTCTAAACCCACCTCCAACCCTCCAACTCTCCATGAGACCCTTCTTCTCTTGGCTCCCCTTCTCTCTCAACTCTCTCCTCTGCTTTCCTCCATCAACTGGTCCGATGCCATTCCTGCAGTCATTCAGTTCCTTCACGCCTTCGCTGCTAATCCGGCTCCCGCCCCCCCTCATTCCTCCGTAAATGACTAGCTGCCGTTTCCTTAACGATTTCTCCCTATTCCAATGGAACTGTTATGGTATCCTTAATAAAACGGATATCCTCTCCCAAATCGGAAGCCAGTATGACATCCTAACCCTATCTGAAACTTGGCTCTCGCCGGACAAATCTTTTTTGCTAAAAGACTACAACATATTACGTAAAGACGGTCCCTCCAATAGATCCGGAGGGGTCCTGCTGGCTGTCAAGAACCAGCTCTCTGTTATTCCTTTCACCAAACTCGACTCCATTTTCTCTCCAGACGGAATTCTTGAGGCGGTGGGGATCAAAGTTCCCTCCTCGCTCAACAACATTCTTCATTTCTATCTACAGACATCTCACTCTTTCGGACCCTCTCCTTTCGGAAGATCTTTTTAATTTCCTCCCTCCCTCTCCCCAAATTATCATCACAGGCGATTTCAACGCACATCACTCATCCTGGGGCTGTAATCGCTCTGATTCGGTGGGTAACTCTTTATTCAATTCCTCTCAGGACTTCTCCTTTTTTCCAATCAATAATGGTACCCCTACCTTCATTTCCTTTTTTTCTCGCTCTTCCTCTGTCATTGACCTAACCTTTGTCTCCTCCAACCTAATTCCTTACTGTTCCTGGAACCCTCTCGATGACTCTCTGGGCAGTGATCACATCCCTTCCGTAATCTCGGTCAGTTATCCTATTAAGTCTCGCTCTTTCTTCTCGCACCGTCTTCATACCTCTAAAATCAAACGTAAACTTCTTTTCGCTACTCTTTCACTTTCCTTTCCCGCACTCTGTGCGCGCCTCGAATCCAAAAATTTTTCTCCGACAGAAAAATACAACGCGTTCTGCAACTTTCTTAAAGACACTGTGATCTCTCTCCTCCCCGAGTGCAAAGCTGACAGGAATAATCCTTGCAACAAAACGCGAACAAAAAGAAATAACAAGCATAACGGATTCTTAACTCATCCTCCCGCCCCCTGGTGGAGCGAAAGCTGCACCAAAGCTGTCGACCTGAGAAGACAAGCATTGCGCGCTTTTCGTAGTAATTCTTCCAGGCTCACCTTCCTCAATTGGAAAAAACAAGAAGCCCTTACCAAAAAAATTCTCTGTCAAGCCAAACGCAAGGGATGGAGATCTTTCTGCGAATCTATAACTTCCTCCACTAACATCTCAGCATTATGGCGCATCGTGAAAAGGTTCAAGAACAGATTCCTCAATCCCTTCCTCCTTCCTCCTCCTTCTAACTTTGGTATTCCACCCGAGATTCAAAACCTAATCAACTCTATTGCTCCTCCTTCATGCCTTCACAAACTCTCAACCTCTTCTTTCAATTCCGACCGTCTCTACTCTTGTCGCATCTTTGACAATCCCTTCCGTTTAGACGAGCTTCTTCACATCATCTACCCACTTAAATCCAAAAAGTCTTCACCCGGTATAGATCAGATCGATTACACCATCCTATCTAGCCTCCCGGAGGAATACTATCCCGTTTTCCTCTCAATACTGAATGGCCTATTCTTTTCCGGGGAATTTCCAGAGTCCTGGAGCCATTCCTTAGTCTACCTCATTCCTAAAGTTACTCCGGGGAAATTCCGCTCCATTTCCCTCACTTCTTGCTGCCTTAAAGTTCTTGAAAAACTTGTCCTTTTCAGACTCGACTGGTGGATGGAACGCTATGAAAAGCTCCCCTCATCACAATTCGGTTTCCGGAAATATCGCTCCTGCCAAGACAATCTCTCCATCCTCACTATCGAAATTCACACCAGCTTTACACGGGGCACAGCCACTGCATGCTTATTTCTGGATCTCTCCAACGCCTTTGATGACGTTATTCCCTCTATTCTCATCTCCGACCTAGAAGAGCTAGGCCTTCCTCCTCATCTATGTCACTTCATCTACAGACTTATCCACGCGCGCAAACTTCAATTCGTAGTAAACGGGGAACTTACAGATGAATATTTCTCATATAAGGGCGTCCCACAAGGCTCTATCCTTAGCCCCATTCTTTTTTACATATACATCTCGAAGATTAATAGACATATCGGAGAAGACTGCGAGTTGGTTCAATTCGCGGATGATATTGCCATCTTTGTCAGTTCTAACAAAATCGAGAGTGCACTTCAAGAACTAGAAGCTTCATCCAATAAGGTTTTCAAATATCTCTCTTCTAAAGGCTTAACGGTCTCGCCCTCAAAATCATCATTAATCATTTTCACGAAAAAACACATCAATCCATTAGCTTATTCCATCAACCTAAACAATTCTGTCATCTCCTCAACCGATACCTGTAAATTTCTAGGCATTCATCTTGATTTCCGTCTCTCTGGCAAAAATCACATACAAGCTCTCTCTGTTCGATGCTCCAAACTCCTTAACATTCTCAACATGCTAAAAGGCACCTGGTGGGGAGGAGCGCCCTCCTCGCTACTGAACATTTACAGAGCTCTTATAAGAGGTTCCATGGAATATGGATGCCTCACATTTCCGTTCAACAACTCTTCAACTATGTATTATCTTGAAAAAATCCAATATCGCGCCCTTCGTGCTTGTCTGGGTTTTAGAAGGACTACTCCTACGAATATAATTCTTGCCAAAGCCAGTGAGGGCCTTTTAAGATCCCGGTTTGAACTCCTTACCTCTAAATACATTCTTAAGATTTTCGCGCTCGACTCTCATCCGCTCATCGACAAACTATTTGCCTTTTTGTGGTACTCCCGCAGAACCCTTAAAGTAAATCCTTCGGAGAAGTTCCTCTTATTTAGATCCTTCAACACTTTGTTGCACTACAAGTCTTATATAAAAAAATTTGACTACCCTGCTGTCTACTCCATTGACTACGACGCTAAAAAACGCTCCTATCCCCCAGATCGTCTTCTTCGATACATACAAACACCTAATCTCCTCTTCCAGGTCTTTCTTCACAGACGCCTCTAAAAACGACTCGGATGAGTATGTAGGCTTCGCCATATACTCACCCTCTCCTCACTTGCAACTTTTATTCAAGACCCACTCTTTCTCCTCCATCTTTACGGCAGAGGCACTGGCTATCCTCTACACACTCGAATACATTCTATCCAACTCTATTTCCAAATCTGTTATCTTTACCGACTCCAAAAGCGTTACTGAAGCACTTCTCTCTATCAACATAGCCCATTCGTATAACTACGTCATTTACGCCATCAAACAAAAACTTTACGAGTTAAAATTGGCTGGATATGAGAATAACATCGTTTGGATCCCGGCACACATAGGCAACGAAACGGCTGACTATCAGGCAAAAAGAGCTATTTCTATAGGCCAGTTTTCTACGAAGTATATCCCTCATTCAGACTTCTATTCCATCCCTCGAAGGAAATTCATTGAACACACTAGCAAAGCGCTCAAGACTCAAGGCAGATTCAAAGGATCTAAATATTTTAATTCATTCGAAGAAATTACCCTCAAACCTTGGTTCCACAAGTTAAAGCTTAATAGAGAAAGCATCGTTTCCTGCTGTAGGCTCAGAAGTAACCATTACGCCCTAAACTACAGTTTACACCGCTGCAATCTGGTTGCAGACCCTTCTTGCTCTTGCGGTTACCCCATGCAAGACGCAGATCACACTCTTTGGAACTGCCCGCTCTACCACGCTCAAAGGACGTCGCTCTTGGCTCAGCTGATAAAACTCGAGAAGACTCCGCCTTTCAAGATTCAGGATATTTTGGAAAAACCTTCCTCCGGGGTTGTCCACGCATTATACTCCTTTTTCAGATCTTGTAACCTAAGCATTTAACATATCCCGAATCATTCACCTGCTCCTTTACTCTCTATTTTATACATCTCTTTAAACCGGTTTTTGGCCCGATTATATTGATCTCCCCCTAGATCAGAAGTGGCCATTTAATAGCAAAGGAGAAGAAGAAGAAGTATATGATACGTATCAAGCGGTACGCGGTAG